TCATTCTACAAGGAATAATACCTTTCGTCGACAGAGTTCTGTCGACAGAAGTCGTTATTGCATCTACACTTTAATGTCGACGAAGCGGTTTGTTTTGTCGACAGAACTGGATGTAGTCTAGATGCTCTTTGTCGACAGAACTGGATGTAGTCTAGATGCTCTTTGTCAACAGAAGCTTTGTCAACAAAATCTGTCTACAAAGCCTCTGTCGACAAAAGCCTGTAGTCTAGCCGTACCCTATGTGATCAGTGATCAATAATTCTCATCTCTCATTGTGAAGCACCTTTCCCTGAGGGACACTGGCAAGACCTTGCAAAGGAAAGTCACTGTGAACCATAATACAGATAAGCAGGGAAACCTGAATTGGCGAGGGTCAGACAGATTGAGTAGAAGGGTGACAGAGACAACCAGGAGTCCTGACTTCCCTGCAGTAACCACAATCTTTCCAGATCAGGGACGTTTCCTTGATTGAGAGGACAGGGAAAGGCTGGAAGAGGGAGGCTTGGGCTGAGCTATTCTTTCCAGGTGAATCCAATGCTTTCAGAACTAGCTGGAGTCTATGAGCTCCCAGATCCTGGAGGGATGATCTCCTGGACTCCACTTCTGCTCCCATTGGTATGCTCAACACTAAAAGGGAAAGTTAACTTAAGGTATGCAATTCCATCTGGGGTATGTCTACACTACCACCCTAGTTCGAATGTAGGCATCCGAAGTTGCAAATGAAGCCTGGGATTTGAATTTCCCGGGCTTCATTTGCATCTTGCCGGGCGCCGCCATTTTTAAATCCCAGCTAGTTCGGACTCTGTGCCCGTGGCTACACGCAGCACAAACTAGGTAGTTCGGATTAGGCTTCCTATTAGGGTGGTAGTGTAGACATACCCTATGTTAGTTATGTAGCTGGAGTTGAAGTATCTTAAATTGGCTTTTCTTGCCATCAGCACAGTGGGAAGTGGACAGGAGCACTTCCTCCCCCCCACCACCTCCCATTGACTTCCCTTACTCCTCATGAGGAGCAGGAGTACTGGGGCCGAAGCGGAAGGGTTCTTCATTCAAACTGATGGATCTTCACGGGAACCACTAATTCAGTCTCTGGAAGATTGAGTGTGGCTGCATCTATCTTCTCCATAGTGCAGACAAGCCCACTAAATTTGAATTAAGTTAGTTTGAATTATTTCTATAGTGTAGACGTACCCTCAGATATCTCCAAGGACATCGCAATCCATGGGGTGGCTCTCAGGAAACAGACTCAGTAAAAGCCACACTGTCAGGATGCTCCTATAGGTAGGGTGGACCTAGGGGCCTCTCTGCGGACAGATACTTCACCCTGAAGACCTGTCACTAAGGCAGGGGATTGGATTTAATGACCTCTTGACGTCCCTTCCAGTCCTAGTGTTCTATGATTGTACGAACGCTGAGTTTGCTTAAGTAGGGAAACTGCAAAAACAGGGCAGAAACATTACAAAATTGCTGGGGGTTTGTATTTAGATCCACCAAGCTAGTGTGACAAAATTGCTGATATTGGTATGCTGGGTCCTGTATTTTCTTGGCAGGGACCTGAGTGACCAGGACACCACCTCTTCCTCTTGTTTTTAGTGCTGAGGTCCCTGCTACTGGCTCAGGAAGGTGAGAATGGATCTGAGTCTGAGCCAAGACCCACTGAACTCCTCCAGGTCTCTTCCCCTCTTTCTCCCGGACTGGTTACCTTTGGGTATGTCTACACGACAGCATTATTTCAAAATATCTAATTTCAAAATACTTATTTCAAAATAACTTATTTTGAATCAATACAGCTACACACAAAATGCATTTCAAAATAGCTTTTTGCTACTTCAAAATAGCATGTCCACATTGATTGGATGCTGAAACATATTTAAGGCCGGCTGGAACCAGGTTCGGCAGGGCATCAGGTCAGGAGTTACTTTGTGTGGGTGCTGCCTGAGGCTATCTGAGGCTGTGCTTAAAGGGACACCTCCCCGCCCCCTGTACAGTCGGTTCTCAGGTTTCCCTGTTTGCTTGTCTAACTCGACGAGGGATAGCAAAGTCTTTTGTTTCTGCATGCTCTGGTTGTCCTCACTCAGGACACCATGACACTCTTCAACATGGAGCCAGAGCTGCTCCTGGGCACTCTGGTGCTTCTCATTGACACATTGCTGTGAGCCTGGCTCCACTTTCTGCTGGCTGCCATCCAGGAGGTCCATCAGCGGGCTGTGGATATCCAGGAGGCCCTGCGAGAGAACTTCCACCCTGAGGAGCACTAAGAGCCTCCCTGGTCTGCCCCACTGGGGGCTTGTGCCTCAGTGCTCCCTTCTGCCCTCCCTAGCCCCCTTCCAGTTGTCAAATATAATACACATATTTTCATAAACACAAACTCCCTTTATTTAAAAAACTGGGGATTGGAGTAATAAACTAGGCAGGAGAGGGGATGGGAGAGGGTGGGAAAGGGGAGGGGGAAAACTGGGAGGAGGGTGTTGGAAGGGGAAAGCAAAGGGAAGAAGGGGGAGGGGAAGCTCAGAGTCGCTCCCAACTCTGAAATATTTAGAAACTGGGTGAAATGGGAATATACTAGAGTAGAGACTCTGTATCTTGGGCACTAAGGAACAAAGACGTGTAAGGAGTACGTACATTTATGTTTCCTGCTGGAGATTATTAACCTTTCCTGCATCACAACACATTGGCTCTATTGACACGTGGAGAATCATACAATGTGGAATGGGCGTTAGTGGTTGTTCATACCTCAGTACTCTGAATATTCTACACCCGTGAGAACAACCACTCGCAGTGTATGTCATGTTTCATACAAACATTGTCTCTCCATTCAGGTGTGCTGTGACCATCAGCTGATATCCTGGGAACATGAAAGAAACATTGTCCCATTTCTTCCCTTTCTGTCCTTGTTCTACCTGCATCCCAAACTGCCAACCCTCTTGCTCAGTCTTCACCTCCCCACTCACATCTCTTACTGGATTATCTCCACCTCTGTACCCCACTATCTTGGTTCTATCTACTCCAGGGCTTGGATGGGAGCTGCTGAAGTCTCACCAGGAACCTGGCCTCAGGGCCAGAAAGACACAGCCCTGGAGCCGACAGTCTGCTACAAAGCCATGAAAAGTGAGTTCAGTGTGTCATTTCCTTTTTTTAGTTTTTCAGTACCTCCCTGCCGGCGTCCATTCCAGGGAGGGTCCCTGCACTGGGCGTGGGCTGGGCGCCCTTTGGCATGAGCCAGATTTTGGGAGGTAGGGCAGAGGATCAGCATTGAATCTAGGAGGACAATACCTGAGAGAGGCAGAAGGAGAAGAAGGGAAGGAGAACATCACCTTGGAGCCATCCCTCGAGATGGTGTCATGGGATCCTCTCATACTGAGATTACCTCTGTGGAGGATAGAACTCCACATAGTAGGAAAAACCAGGCAGTGGGGTATTTGATCATCAGAAACTTAAATAGCTGGGTTTATATTGAGCGGAAGGAACACTGGTGACTTTTGTGCCGGGTGCAAAGATCGTGGATCTCTTGCGACATCTAGACAGACATATGTGTATTACTGGAGAAAAGCTGGTGGTCATGATGCATGGAGACACCAAGGCCACATGGAAGGAGAGGAGATAGGAGTTTCACAGGTTGACTGTATGAAGAAAAACTTCCTTTTGTTTGTTTTAAGCCTGCTGCCTATTCATTTTTTTGGCAACCCCTACTTCTTATATTATGCGAGTAAGTACGTAATAGTCCCTTATTCACTTTTTCCACACCAATCATGATTTTATACACCTCTATCATACTCCCCCTTACTCTCCTCTTTTCTAAGATGAAAAGTCCAAGTCTTTTTAATCTCTCGTTCCCTTCTAATTAATCTCTTCTGCTATGGCTGCCATTCTAAACCCCTAATCATTGTTGTTGCCCTTTTCTGAACCTTTTCCAATGCCAGTATACCTTTTAAGAGATGAAAAGACCACATCTGTACGCAGTATTCAAGATGTGGGTGTGCTATGGATTTATGTAAAGGCAATAAGATTAGCTGTCCTATTGGCATTACCGAGGTGCTCAGTCCTCCCACGTTTTGTTGTGGATTTTCCAAAGAAAAGGCTGGTGTTTTCTACAGGTCACCCACATTTCCCAGTGATAGCAGAGATTTGGGATCAAACATGGCTCTCTCAACTAAAAGTCTTACGCATGTTCGGACGTTGTGATCGTGAAGATCTGGTGAGGCAGCCTGCCAAGGGCCTTGAATCTTGATATCTATGACTTCAGTTGAATGGCTTGTGTGAAATTTAGAAGAGCAGCTCAGAGAGACCTCTCTCCTTTACTTAAGGGTAGAATCTCACAGCAGCCTGAAGGAAAAAGTCCTCGTGGCAGACAGAAAGCCATGCTTGCAGGGTAGCCTCAGCCTTAGGCTACTTATTGCTTCAAGTGCCTTCAAGAAAGCGAGGGTGATTCTCATGTTGTGCGTTAAAAGTTGTTTTCTGAGTTATTTTAACAGGTAAATGAATCTCTTACGTTCACTGATGTAGCAGAGGAGGTGTGTGTGTGTGTGGGGGGGGGGGTAATTGCCCTTCTGCTCCCCCATTATCTCTCTGCTCACCTGTTCCTCCTCCACCCACCACCGCCAGCTGAAACCTCCTCCCTGCCTCTATATCCCCAACCTCACCCTCCTCCCACTTCAACAGTGAGATAGTGCCTGCCCCAAACTGGAGGGGGTGGAGAAAGATGCGGTGCAAGCTCCCCCACTCCTCCCAGGGTCCGGCTCAGCTGTGCACTAGGTTTGGGACCTTGTCATGTGGTGGCAGGGAGAGGCAGGCACAAATTTTGCTTTTGCCCCCGGGAGCATAACACCCTCGCTATGCCTCTGGTTGGCAACCCCATGAGTTGTGCATGGAAGGATTCGCCAGTATGTCAGGCTGAGAAAACACAGTAAAGTGAGACATGAATTTTATCTTTCTTTGATTGGCCAGTCAGTGAATCAGGGAGGAGAACCATGTCAGCAGCGAGCACCCCCAGGGAGATCTGTCTAAGGGCCAACACCTGAGGAGAAAACATTACTCCCTTTATGAGTAAACAGATGAAGCAGCCTATTCCGGATCTGCTTTGTCCTCACCCCGTAGATGACAGGATTCAGCATGGGGGGAACCAAGAGGTACACATTGGCAATGAAAACTTGGAAATAACTGGGCAAATTGTGGCCAAAACGAGATGTCAGGGAGGCAAACAGTGTTGGGATGTAAAAGGCTAAGATGACACAGACGTGCGAGCCGCAAGTCCCAAAAGTCTTGAGCCGGGCGTCCTTTGTGGGGAGGCTGAAAATGGCCCTGAGGATCTGGATATAGGACAGGATGATAAAAGACACATCCAGACCAATCCTACAGGATAGCACAAAAAGGCCGTAGTAACTACTGATGCGGGTATCGGTACAGGCCAACCTCACCACATACATGTTCTCACACTGAGTGTGGGGGATAATGTTGGTTCTGCAATATGGCCACTGCCTTGCCAGCAAGGGAAAAGCCAGTGTAAGAATGCTGCCACGCAACAGAATGACCAGGCCAATCTTCAGCACCAGGGAGTTTGTCAGGATGGTGGAATGTCGCAGGGGGTGGCAGATGGCCACGTAGCGATCAAAAGCCATAGCTGCAAAGATCCCAGACTCTATCTCTGAAAAGCAGTGAATGAAGTACATCTGGGTGAGGCAGGCACTGAAATCGATCTCCCTGGAATTGAACCAGAAGTTTGCCAGAATTTTGGGCAGGGTAGATGTGGACAGCACCAGGTCAGTGACGGCCAACATGCAGAGGAAATAGTACATGGGTCCATGGAGACTAGGTTCCCTCTTCACAATAAATAAGATGGCAAAGTTTCCCAAGATAGCTATGACATACATGGTGCAGAAGGGGATGGAGATCCAGACATGGGCCACCTCCAGACCAGGAATTCCCAGTAAGATGAAAGTCGAGGGGTTGGTGAAAGCAGTTGTGTTGGCATCCGTCATGGAATGGGAGAGAAGCGATTCAACAGAGGCAGAACGGTGTCTCTTGAAGCAGATGCTCCACAGAGTTTCTGGATGGTCTAGGGTGATGGTCACAGTGCAAATACCTGGATGGAGACACAATGTGAATATGAGACACCATGTACACAACTGGAGGCTCTTCTCAAGGGTGAAGGAGATTTGTACTTTCTTCACACTCTGAAAAATATCACTTTCACTATCTAGAGACACGAATTTCAAAAAAATATACTAATAATTCCATGTTTGATGGTGCTCCATGGATCAAAAATATCTATACATTATGGTGCGTGAAACCTTAAAAGGTACCAGCAGGAAACGCACCCTAGGGAAAAGACCTGGCCATAACTGATAGCAACTCCATAGGAGTAACAGCTCATTCACGGCACAGGCTAAGGAAAGGGATGGAACAACAGCTGCTCCGGATATGTGCTCAGTTTTGTTCCCCCAATCTCTGTGAAGGAAACAGTAGGTAGAAAGTGATAGAAATGTAGCCGTGTTAGTCTGGTGTAGCTGAAACAAAAGTGCTACATAGTCCTGTATTTTGTAGGTAGAAAGGGAATTCTGAGGCTGGCGTTGAGAACAGGGGAGCTGTCATATGCAACCAGATTTAGAAATCTGCGACCGATAAAGGAGAGAAAAGTAAAAAACGGGACTCATTACATTACATTCAAATGGAGACAATGAGTAGAATTGCTAGTCAGTAATATCTCTAGTGACTAATTGCTCCAAAGGGCAAATTCTTCACAACTGTGTCAAACCATCAGCAAAACATATTGCGAGGAAAAGTTAGGCAGAAAAATGAAAATGAAAATTGGGGTTTCCCCAAAAAAACCCGATTGCATGGTTAAGAAATTGGACAATTTGGCTAAAAATCCTGTTCGTTGGCTAAGTGAAGGTAGCTCTTAAGGGATTAAATGCCCCGTATCCCAATATGATACAAAGCTATTCAAATCGTAATGGCATATTGGCGTACATTAGAAGGAGCATTGCCAGCCAGTCTAGAGAAGTGATTATTCCCCTTTAATCAGCACTGGTAAGGCCACATCTGGAGCACTGAGTCCAATTTTGGGCCTCCCCATTACAAAAAAGGTTTGTAGTTCCACTGGAGGAAGTCCAGTGGAAGGCAACAAAAATGATTATGGGGCTGAAGCTGAGGGATTTGGGCTTATTTAGTCTGCAGAAGAGAAGAGTGAGGGGGGATTTGAGAGCAGCCTTCAATTCCCCAAAGGGGATTGCAAGGAGAATGGAGAGAGGCTGTTCTCAGTGACGACGGATGGCAGAATGTGACTCAATGGTCTCATGTTGCAGTAGGGGAGATCTAGGTTAGATATTAGGAAAGAATACTAGGGGGTGGTGAAGCGCTGGGATGGGTTCCCTAGGGAGCGGTGGAATCTCCATCCCTAGAGGTGTTTAAGTCCCGGCTTGACAAAGCCCTGGCTGGGCTGATTGAGTTGGGTTGGTCCTGCTTTGTGCAGGGGGCTGGACTGGATGACTCCTGAGGTCTCTTCCAGCCCTAGGATTCTATACAATCTGAATGATGCCCTATGCCACTGGAAGGGCTTGCGGTTGTAGGTAATGGGAAGGGATGCCCTCCAAAAAGTGACATTTTGCCTATTGATGCTGGAGCAAATTCATCCCTGCGGCAAGGGGCTATTTACGATCTGTGCAGAGCAGAAGGGTTCCCAGACTTACCTTATCCTGTGGTGCCCTGGGTTTGTCGAGCAGGGGAGCTCCTCAGCCCAAGTTGAGCATTTCTGAGATGTGAGAGGAATTGGGCCGAAAGGAATCTGATGAGGTTCAACACGGACAAGTGCAAAGTCCTTCCTTTGAGATGGAAGAATCCCAACCATTGTTACAGGCTGGGGACAACGGGCTAAGCAGCAGTTCTGCAGAAAAGGACCTGGGGATTAAAGTGGGTGAGAAGCTGGATATGAGTCAAGAATGCACCCTTGTAGCCAAAGAGGCTAACAGCATATTAGGGTGCATTAGGTGGAGCATTGCCAGCAAATCCAGAGAAGTGATTATTCCCCTCCAGTCAGCACTGACGAGGCCACAGCTGGAGTATTACGTCCAATTCTGGGCCCCCATTACAGAAAGGATGTGGACGCATTGGAGAGGGTCCAGAGGAGGGCGATCAAAATGATTCGGGGGCTGGAGCACATGACCTCTGAGGAGAGGCTGAGGGAGTTGGGTTTGTTTAGTCTGCAGAAGAGCAGAATGAGGGGGGGTTTGAGAGCAGCTTCCTGCTACCTGAAGGAGAGTTGCAAAGAGGCTGGAGAGAGGCTGGTCTCAGTGGTGACGGGTGGCAGAACGAGGAGCAATAGTCTCAAATTTCAGAGCTAGAGCTCTAGTTTGGATATTGGGAAAAGCTGTTTCCACAGGAGGGTGGGGAAGGGCTGGGAAGGGTTATTTAGGGTGGGGGTGGGTTCTCCATCTCTAAAGGTTTATAAGTCCTAGCTTGACAAAGCACCAGCTGGGTTGATTGAGTTGGGTTTGGTCGTGCTTTGGGCAGGGGGTTGGACCAGATGACTCCTGAAGTCTCTTCCAGCCATAGGATTCTATGATTCTGTGCCAGCTGAATGATCCCTGGTGCCACTGCAATGCAGAGACTTGCGGCTCTAGGTAATCATCCGGAAGAGGCACAGATACACAGAAAAGAGTCACATTTCGCATGGGGATACCAGCAAGGGCCCAGGACTGTTTGTTTACGGGCTGTGCAGAGCAGAAAGGACCCCAGACTTACTCTCTATCCTGCGATGCCCTGGGTTTGTCGAGCAGGGGAGCTCCTCAGCTCGAGCTGGGTACCTCGGCCTGAGTTGGGTACCTTTGAATTCTGAGAGAGAGGTGCCTTCCTAGGGAGCCCCCTCAGGCAGCCCTGTCCCTCACCTCAGCATTGGCAGAAGCCTCGCGCACCAGGAGCAGGCTCAGGGCTGTGCACTGTTAGTAATATAGCTCTGGGCAGTCCTGGCTGTGTTCATGGGAGCATCTGAATACAAACCGCTGAAGACCAGCCTGTTTGGGCTTCTGGGCTATTTATCCAGCTGAAGAGTAAACAGCAATTAAGGGAGAGCAATGGGAAAGGAGAACTCTTGGGGTCTGGCCTCAGTCCGAGAGGAATTGGCTGCTCTGTACCTTAGTGTGTATTTAAAAATAATAGTTGATTGGAAAAAAAAAAGGAAGGATAGTATCTAGGTCTCCCTACGGTCCGATACACTGTAAATACCCAGGATGTAAACAGATAGGCTACGTCTAGACTGGCATGATTTTCCATTAAAAGCATTTTCAGAAAAGAGCATCTAGATTGGCACGGACACTTTTCCACAAAAGCACTTTTGGTGGAAAAGAGTCCGTGCCAATCTAGATGTGCTTTTTCGCGATCGGAGCTTTTTTGCGGAAAACAAACCTGAGCTGTCTACACTGGCCCTTTTGTGCAAAAGGACTTTTGCCTGAACGGGAGCAGCATAGTATTTCCGCAAGAAGCACTGATTTCTTACAGTAGAATTAACGTTGATAGGCGCTACACAGGGAAACCGCTAGATCAAACTTAATTCAAACTAGCGGAGCGCTTAATTCGAACTGGGTAAAGCTCATTCTATGAGGACTAACGCCTAGCTCGAATTAACTAGTTCGAATTAAGGGCTGTGTAGCCACTTAATTCGAACTAGTGGGAGGCTAGCCCTCCCCAGCTTGGCCTGGTGGCCACTCTGGGCACCACCAGGGAAACTCATCTGCCCCCCTTCTGGCCCCGGAGCCCTTAAAGGGGCACAGTCTGGATACGGTGCCTAGCTCATTCTATGAGGACTAACGCCTAGCTCGAATTAACTAGTTCGAATTAAGGGCTGTGTAGCCACTTAATTCGAACTAGTGGGAGGCTAGCCCTCCCCAGCTTGGCCTGGTGGCCACTCTGGGCACCACCAGGGAAACTCATCTGCCCCCCTTCTGGCCCCGGAGCCCTTAAAGGGGCACAGTCTGGATACGGTGCCTGTATCCCTGCACCTGGAACTACATGAGCCAGCCACCCGCTGCCACCCAGCCCTCCTCCTCTTCCCCGGACT